GAGAGAGAGAGAGAGAGAGAGAGAGAGAGAGAGAGAGAGAGAGAGAGAGGAGGAGGAGGAGGAGAACGCGTCAATCAAGCGATCGTTAATTAAATGAACGCGACGAGCGGAAAAAAAGGGGAAGGGAAAGAGTATTGCATAGAGATACGAGACCATCTTCTTCCCCAAGTGGTCCTATTGGATTTCGATTAACCGAGAAAGAAGAAGACTCTCGTTTCCTTCTACGCTGGTAACAACGTTCCACGATGACCTGGCCCTCGACAACGACCGAGGAAATACATCCTCCAGGAAGAAAAAGTTCGAATGGTGGATCAATCTCCCTTCCCTACACGCACGAATTAAAAAGCGCGCCTCGAATCGATCGAAGAAACCGAAGGAAATGACGAGCGAAGATAATGGAAAAATAGTATTAATCAAGGAGGTCGAGTCGAAAAGCGATCGATTAATTGCGTGTAATAACCGTGTAATAAATTCTAAGACGAGACAAATTAAACGAATTGAACAAATTCTCGAGGAAAACTTCGATTGAAAAAAAAGTGGTGTTACGATACACATCGTAAAATCGTGATACGGCCGTTAAGTCTAGTTACACGAATAAAATAGAATAGATGGCCTGTCGAGATCCTATTTTCGGAGGTTGAACGCTTGAATACGCGGAGCGTCGGTGTGCTGATCCCGTGACGCGTGCATAATGGCACAATGATACAATTTCATAGGCGAGTGGCTCCGTAAAATGGAGGGGGGTGCTGGACAATGACGAGTTAAATTCCGCTGGACCGAACTTCAAGATGGAGTTCAAGCGCGGTTGTCAAACTTCGGACACACGGTTGGCACACGGTTTCCCCTTTCTGCTCTTCAAACTTTCGCTCGCTTCGTCGAAAATTGTTGTTAAGCGGCTTTAACGCGAACCGAGGTTACTCGGTTGTAATTGCGTCACGCAGTTGACGAATTTTTCTCGTTTTCACGACAACGGGTAGAGAAAAATCGTGGGCGTCAAATGGCATTTCGTGTCGATATGTATCGAGATCACAGGTGTAAATTATATCACGAATATTAAAAAAATATGAATATCCTTTTATCGGAAAGAATTTAGATTAAATTCGTAAATATAATTCCACTTTAGGACGATAAGTGTATTTTAGCCGTATAGCCCGCGAGTAAAAGGGAGAATTTAAGAGAATTGACTTCCGTGATATATTCTATTATTTTTTGGATTTTCCCTTCCATTTTGATTTTCTTATTTATTTTTATATATAGTTCACGATTACAATTATACAGATTAATTCTGATCTGAAAAAAAAAACAAGACGTTATTTAAATAAATATGAACATTGCTTTTTTTTCAGGTGGTAAAAATGATGATCGTGGTGGTACTAATATTTGCTATATGCTGGTTACCTTTTCACGTGTACTTCATCATAACGTCGTATTTCCCGGAGGTTACGAATGAATCGTATATCCAAGAAGTTTTCTTGGGTATTTATTGGCTTGCGATGTCTAACAGCATGTACAATCCCATAATCTACTGTTGGATGAATTCGAGGTAAAATATTAGTTTATAAAACATCATATAAATAGCTTTAAGTAAGTATGAATTAATCGAAAAATTTCTTAGGTATAGGCATGATCAGGAAGGTTTTCAATAAAATTTCACTTTGATTGAAAAAAAAATGATTGGCAAATTTTCCTCGTTGCACGTGTAAATTCGTTTTAATGATTACGTCAATCAAAAGTGCAAAACATTTTAATTGTTATTCGATAAATCAACAATCAAAACTTAATCGATCTTAAGTTTTCAACTAGTAATAATTTTGGACAGAACTTTATTGATTTCGATGTCGCTGCGTCAAAGCGTAATCGTACTTTAATTAGAAATGCCCTTTAGGTTAATTTTCACTCGCTATATACGTTTCATCGTTTGTAAACAATTTTCACATGTACACGCGATATGTGTACTTAAAATTGATTTATTATCATTCGATTTAAGAAAAAAGAATAATTTCAAACTTTATCGAACAATCCATAGTGTATAAAATATAAATTTTAATTGCGGTTTGGTTGATACGATATATATATATATATATATATCAAAAAACCGCACGAACCGTCGAAGACAAATCCAGACAACATTGTTCGTCCCACAAACTGAATGAAACGGGTGCCATGTGATTGATTTGAAAATAGCCATTTACCAGAATCCCTTTACACGTCATACACAGGAATTGTTTCGGTGAAATTCTATCCGTGCACACCGGTATCATCGTTTCGTACCAAACAACTAAAAAAGTACTGTCCGTAACGAACAATTTCCTCACAATAGGCCAATAGTTCTCGTCCTACAACACTCGTTCATCTGTACTCACGAAAAAACAACAAAAAAAAAAAAGAAAAAAAAAAAGAAACGGAAAAAAAAACTCTCACTTTCCGATAAAATACTACCTACTCGTTTGAAATGTACCGTTTCCCCACCGATATTTTCCCTCGAAAAGTTACGAGTTTTAGATTAAAACCTCTGTCTCGAATCCAATTTCTACGAGAATTTTTCAATCACGAAAAATATAAACGCGTCTGGCAAACGTTGAAACAATGAAAATTCCATTTGGCTATCTGATCAATAATAATTAAACGAAACTTTTTCTCAATCTATTTCGCAGATTTCGACGCGGATTCGCCCATTTTTTCTCCTGGTGCCCTATGGTGAAAGTTCCACCCGAGCCTTCGTTATCACGATCCGAGGCGTTAACGTCGCGTTACAGTTGCACAGGAAGTCCTCAGACGAACACAAGGATATCACGGAACGGTACGTCCTCGTCCACGTCCTCCTCTTTGGAACTCTCTTGCACAACATCGTCCATGACCGAGACACGATTCGAGCACGATGACGTCCACACGAACGCGCAAAATTCTTGCATTGATTTGCACGATCTCGCCACTGCCAATGTCAAACCCAATGAATCGCGAGACGAAATAGAGTAACGAAATTGATACGACGACTGTCAGAAAATTGATTCGTTCGGTAACAGGTAGCTTTTAACAACTTTATCACGCCACGAACGTACGAGTCGAACGAACCGAAAAAAAAACATCTCGATCGGTATTTTCGCGCGAGCTCGATCGATAAGAAAGAAATCATTACAGTTCGGTGTATAAACTACATTATTCGCACGTGCGTTTCATTATGAACGATTCATAAACGAATTTATGAAGTAGGAAATCAACTTTTGCACAGATGCAATATATCTTTGTGTTAGTTAATGCCTGATCGAATCTATGCATGTAAAATTCTTATTTATGAATGAAAAATCCTAAATAACGGGAAAAATTGGTTTCTATTGAAATTCCAAAAAACTAAAAAAAACTATATTATTATTAATATATCGATACAAACAAGATCGGTTTTTAATTTTTAATAGGTACACCGCGAATACATTTGTGTCTACGATCGAGAGGAGGAAACGATCGATTTTTGGCCGAGCATCGAGGAAGAAAGTGGAAAACCTCGCAAACTACGGGTCACGTGTCTTGACAGGAAGAAGAAAGCCCTCAGCAACGAGTACATACCTGGATATAAGAGTACATATCCATAAGAAGTCGGCCTCTTCAAGATTGATCGTGAATGAAATAGGGAGAGATTGAGAGGAGCCGATAAATTCGAGATCTCCTTTCTTAGAGAGAGCGCACGCAGACCTGTTATGACCAGAACCAAACCAGGAAGCTCAAATAATTGTTCACTATGTTCAATAGAAACGTTAATTATCCAAACTATTAGAATAAATATTTCCGTTTTGATGTAAACTACGCTGAATCGAGCCTCAACGCGACGACGAGAATGAATTGAAGGATTCATAAGAAAAATGATCTTTGTCAATTTTTGTCTTTGTTCAAAAGAATAAATAAATACTCTTGCATTTTTATTTTTTATCGATAGATTTGATAGATAAAAGTTCCTTTAAAAACTATTAATTTTACGAACTATTATATGATGGTACTAATTACATTGCCGAACAAATTATGAAATTGTGCACTTCATGTTTCTGACAAGAATCTTCTTATTTGGAAGATCTTTTATTTCGAACTTTGCTTCATACATTTAACTGAATGAAAAAATAAAATAAAAATAAAATTTTCATATTTTTTTTTGCATTGCTATAACACAATATAAAAAGTTATTAATTGAAAAGTTAATTTTATGTTAAAATACGCTTAGTTATATTATATACAAGTTAAATTGTTTAGTGTATGTATATATAAACATTAACGGACCAATAATCTACCTACTGCTATCTGCAAATGTTTATGAAAAAGTTTCATTTTTCTAACAAAGATAGAATTTCAATGAGAAATTTATAAGGACGTAGATCATGATAAAGTAGTTTAATGTGTGCAGTTTTGTAAAACATAAACTGCTTAATTAATTCTTCCTATTACTAACTGTTCCTACTGTGTATTGGTATTATAAATCTAATAGAAAAGAATTCTAATTTTCATCGAACGAAAATGTTTTCTATTTCAGATGATAGTTTCTTTAAAAATGAAAAATCTATATTCTTAATGAAATTTTGCTACTTAAACAAGCTTGTATCTTATTTTATTTCGCTCAAATATTGTTTAAAAAAAAATAAATATTATAATTAATATAAAAAGTACGGATAACGTTTTATTACAATTTAAAAATAGTAATGACAAACATTTTTGTTTTAAAAATGAACAAATGTATTTGCGAATAAATGAATAATTTATGGAATAATTATTTTGTTGAAAATATATTTACTTAATTGTTTGTATAATCTGATTTGTATTTTAATTTTTAATTTATCAATAATTTATAATTTTTTTTCAATTTTCAAAGAAATATAATAAAAATCTTAAAATTTTTGAGCGAAAGTGTATATTTACTTTGGTTGTCTATACCATGTATTTATTTAAATATTATTTAAATAAATTGTTATAATACAAAATGTTAATAATAAACGCTAAATGCATCGTGAAAATTAATTATTAATATTATTTATATAATATAATTATTAATATTATTAATATAATTCTTTGTAAAAATAAATTTAGCTTACTAATATATAATATTTTAATACGAAAATTTTTTTTTCTTTTTTTTGATTGAAAAAGAAATAATATAATATATTTAATACTGATAATATTTCACAATTTCGGTGTTCGATTATTATAATTAATTTATATACTTATATCAAATAAAAGAAATAGATAAAATTTTTGTTTTAAATCGGCCAAACTGAAAACAATCTAATTGAATTAATAATTATTTTGATAATTAATCGATACTATTTATATTTTCCACTGTAACTCTATACGGAGGAAGAACACTCTGGGAAAAAAAAAACGCTTTTTAATATAATAGTTAAGACTAAATGTACATGTAATTACATATATTGAATGTATTGAAGAAAGCTTATTGGTAAAGTGAGAAGAAAATATATTATTCAATATGTATAAAAATATGTGAATACTAATATAAGAGATTGCTTCTGTTTGCAGATAAAAGCTTCCTAAAAATTGTATTTTCATCATAAACAAATAGTATAAAAATTAAGAAAGAAAAATATACGATATTAAAAGAAATAATTAATGTGATTTGTACCTATTTTATAAAAAATATATTGATTTAAATGATAAAGAATAAATGACATGTTGTATATGTATAGATATATAAATATTTCTATCCTGTATTAATTAAATAACTGATTAAAATTTTATATAAATTACTATTTTTGCTTATAGATATTTCTATAAAAAGCAAAATATCTTTCAAATAAAATTTTATTTATTTACAATTTTTAAAACTCACATATTTTTATATTATTATATTTCAATTTACTTCTGTTTTATTTTCTACGTTAATTATTATACAATATATATATGTTAAAATAGCTTATAATATTTATTCATAAAATTAATTGATTTATTAAATAATTAATAAATTTTTGTAGGAAATGCAACTAGATTTTTCCATGAAATAAAAAAATCCAGAAGTATATATATTTTTATTATATTAACATAAATTAATATAAGTAATTTTAATATAATTTTAATATAATAATTTTAAATTAATATAACCCTAAATTATATATTAATATTATCCTATAAAGTACTTAATTAATTAACAATACCTTCTTTATATTTATCTATTTTCCACTCACCATAATTAAATGAAAATGGAAACATTCTATCAGTATATAAATGACCCTAAAAAATAATAAAATACATTATTAAAAATAAATATAACATATTTATATTATCTTTTATTAATTTTTTTAATTCTTAGCAAGATAAGGCTAAATAAAGTTATAGATATCAAATGTACAATAAATTCTGATGATAAAAAAATCATAAAATTAAAGAAACTAAAAATAATAATATAATAGTTAAAAAAACAAATTATCAAATAAACTGATAAGGGGAAAAAATGAAAATATACTTACTTTTAAATGATCCATTTCATGGTGAACAATTCTAGCTAACCAACCTTCTGCTTTCATAGAAAATGATTCTCCAAATTTATTAAGTGCTTCAATTTCAACTTCTTTTGGTCTTGGTACTTCCGCATAATAACAATGAATACTTGCGCATGTTTCAAAATGTACAATTTCTTCAGGATTTATTATTTTCATTTTTGGATTAATAAAATATGTTAATGGATAAGTTGTGATACCATAACATTTTCGTATATATGGATGAATATGTTTCACAGTTTCTTCCGTCACTTCAATAGCAAATAATTGCCAAGGTAAGCCAATTTGTGGTGCTGCTAATCCTACTGTATCATATTTCTTCAATAATTCATATAAATGATCAAGTATCTACAATAAAAAAAATTAATACATGAATTTGTAATAAAATAAATCATAGATAAAAAAATATCTTCATTAATTTTACAATTTTTAAGTTAAAAAAATTTTTACAAATATTTTTATTATAAAAATCTCTTTTTATGGCATCATTAGATATAGGATAGAAGTATTATTATATACTTATTAGATTTAATTTCATAATTTCCATATTCTATATTTTCTTATAATAGAATAAATTTAAATTTAAAAAATTTTAGTTTATCTTATATATTTTAATAAGAAAATAAAATTATATACAATTTATTTTTTAAATTGAACAATTATTTAGAGATATAAATTAATAAAACATAAAAACATACTTTTTGAAATTCTTGCGTTTGTATTATCTTTTCATCTATACATGACGTTTTCTGTCTTAAAACAGGATTACCAACTTGACAAATGAAATTATAAGGAGGTTTTGCAATTTCAGGTGTTTCAGTTAAATATATTTTACAAAGTTTTTTTAAACTTTGAAAACTAAAAGTACGTGTACTATTCTTCTGCAAAGTCTTTGTAAATCCACTGACTATATTAAAACATTTGAACATTATTTTGACTATTGTTTTACAGTATTCGTAAGAATTTTTGGCAGAGTTAATAAGGTTAAGCTTCTATGATGATTGTAGATATATTGGTACTATGATTAGCGGATCAAATATTTTAGCGGAAACATGATCTTAGTTTGCCTTAAATATCATATATATTAATATGTTTGTTTTGTTTTTATAAATAATGATAATATTAAAATTATAAATAATAATAATAAAAGATTTTATTATTTATTATATTTTCTTACAATACAAATTTCTTTATTATAATTAAAATTATAATAATTATAAAATATTTAATATAATAATTATAAAATATTTAATATAATAATTATTATATTTAAAAATATTTTCTTTCCCTTATTTTCTTTAACCTTAATATTTGTTACTTATATATCTTAATATATATTCAACTTATATACCTTATATTATTATAACATAATACTACATTTTTAATGTAATATTTATTTTTTAACTCATTATTTAGTTATAATTAATATAATATTTAATTATATTTTCATATTAACATATTATTTTTACATTTAAATATTGACAGTTAAATCATATTTTATATACCATTAATGTATTTACCATTATTATATATTTCGTCAATAAAATCTCGATATATTATTATGTAATGATTTCATCAATACAATTATCATTTTATATTTCATACATATTAAAAAAATAAGAATATCAACATACAATTTGATAACCTATATTAATATACCAAATTTGTTTGTATTATTTGTTGTGTGATATTTTATATTTATAAAATATCCTATTTTAATATTTCCTATTTTATACTTAATATAATCACATAAAATAAATATTCAAGAATCAAAATGGTAATTATTTTTTATATAATATTTTGTAATAAAATCACAATTAATATTCTTTTTTTATTAGATAAAAAATAGTGCATTAAAATTAAATTGTGTGGGTGGTAATTCAATTAATACTCTAAGGTATTTATCAACACAAACTTCAAGTGGAGGTAAGGATACAGGTTTAAAATTTGCTAACCAAAATCCAAAACCTATTATATTACCTGAAACAGAACCATCAGAACCATATCCAACTTATCCTCAAAGATCTCCTATAATAGAAATACCAGGTTTTTGAAAATTTAAAAATTTTTAATTTCTAATAATGTTAATAAAATTAAAAATATATGTTTAACAAACAATTTTAAAGATAGATTGTGAATTAAGTATTAATATGAATATGAATAATGAATAATATATATAAATTAATTAAAATTAATTATTAAAAAAATAATTTAGGTCCTATTGTAGAACCTGCTCTTCCTCAGCCACTACCTCAACCCCAACCTCAACCTCAACCTCAACCTCAACCTCAACCTCAACCAGATTCTATACCACCTCTTGAAATTCCAGTACCTCATAAAAGTGCAATTGCAGGCAAAGAAGCACAACAAACAAATATAGAAAATGATGTCTTATTTAAAGAAGTATGTATATCTATAATTACAAAATTAATAATTATATATAATTTATAATAAATATATTTTTTTTTAATAAGGTTGGAAATAAAGGTATTATCATATTGAATCGTCCAAAAGCACTTAATGCTTTAAATTTATCAATGGTTGAAAAAATATATCCAGTACTTAAGAAATGGGAATCATCTAAAAAATTAGTAATAATTGAAGGTGCAGGAGATAAAGCATTTTGTGCAGGTGGTGATATAAAATCTATTGCTAATGAAATAAGAGATAATGATAATAAAGTCTTAGGTGAAACATTTTTGAAAAAGGAATATACGTAAGTTTCAAAATATTATTTTAAAATATATTATTAAATATTTTAAACTTATATAAATTTAAGAATTATTCAATTAATTCATTAAATCTTTCATTAAATATTAAATATATAGCTTAAATCATCTCATTGGTACATATAAAATACCATACATAGCAACAATAAATGGGATAACTATGGGAGGTGGTGCTGGAATATCTGTTCATGGTAAATATCGAATTGCTACAGAAAAAACATTATTTGCAATGCCAGAAACAGCAATTGGATTAATTCCTGATGTTGGTGGAAGTTATTTTTTACCTAGGCTAAAAGGTAAATTAGGACTTTACCTTGGATTGACTGGAGATCGATTACAAGGTATGAAATTAAAAATTATTAAATTCATTAATATATATTTTATATGCTTTATATTATAAATCATAATTTTATATTATATTAGGTATTGATGTACTACTTGCTGGTATTGCAACACATTTTATTCCTTCTGAAAAACTGCCAAATTTAAAAGAAGATTTACTGATGACTGATAAATCTGATATTAAAGAAATCTTAAATAAATATCAATCTAAAACATTGAATCAAGAATTTTGTTTAGCACCATATATGAGTAAAATAGATAAATGTTTTTCTGCATCATGTATAGAAGAAATTATAGAGAGGTAAACTATAATAATTAATTATGATATATATTATTTTACTTTAACAATTAGGTAGATATATATATATATTTGTTTAATATAGTTTAATTAATTAGACGTGTATATATAATTTATATTTTAAAATATTTACTTACTGCAAATTTTAATGAAGATTAAAAGAAGATAATTCAGAATGGGCCAAAAAGACATTACAAATGTTATTAAAAGCATCTCCCACTGCTTTAAAGTTTACAATGTGTGCTATTCAAAAAGGAAGTACATTGAATTTGGCAGATTGTTTAAAGATGGAGTTTAAATTAATGTGTAGTTTTTTTAATAAAACTAGTGATTTTTGCGAAGGTGCTTATAAATATGTTCATTTATAATTATATATTTATCATCTCTGAAAATAATTTTATATAATATATATAATTATTATTAATTTTATAGGTGTTAGAGCCGTTTTAATTGATAAAGATAGAAAACCAAAGTGGAATCCCAAAAACTTAATAGAAGTTACGGACAATTACGTGAATCAACAATTTAATCTTTTAACAAATGAATTGCACAGCATTAAATTAGATTAAAATGTCAGGGAAATAGCATAAAAAGTACAAATTGTATGAAATAGAAAACAACATGCTTTATTTGAAAAATAATGAACAAAATATTAATAAGTATTTACAATTACTATGTTAATACATTAAAAAAAATATTATTTTTAAGTTTTTATTTTTTGTTATTCTATTTTTAAATCAAGTTTACACAAACAACTATATAATATAATACGGACGATTTATGATATTTTACAAGACATTTATTAATATTTTAAAAACTTACTACCAAAATGTAACAACTACAAATATATTGATAGTTTTATAATAAAATGTATTTGTTTTTATCTTTTTACAAGTTGTACTTGTATTTAAAGGACAAAAATTAAAAAAAAAGAAAATAATAATATATTAAGCAAATAATATGTATAAAATTCATTGATATTTTTAATTTTAATTAAAAAAATATCAAATAAAATGCATTTATTATTTTTTTAATAAAAGATATCAAAATACATTTACCAAAATTTGTTTTAATTTTCCCAAATATGCATAAAATATTTTTAACGTAATTAGAATATTTACGTTATAAAAAGTAATTTTAAAAACACTTAAAATTCTTAAATAGTTTATTACTTTATTTATCAAAACGTTTATTATTTTTATTATATCAAGTACTTCCATAATATGATTTGCAAATGACAAAAATTCACAGAACTCTTTCTTATATGGAATTAAAACAATTTATATAGATTGTAGGCTCCATGTATTAAAATGAAAGAAATTAGTTCTATCACGTTTGTCAAATTGTATTTTTCGGATGTTTTTGTTTTACTTATTTGCACTGTTCTGAATCTGTTATTGCAGTTTATATATTGATATTCCTTTCCTACTGCACAATTCACATAAAGGACAACAATACACTTCAGTACTAACATCCAATATGAATCAGAGGAAAGGGAAATGTAATAAACTGCCACAAATCTGAGTATTTAAATTATTGTATGCATTCAGTCAATATACTGAGCAAGCCAACGGAAACCTTCACCATATCCTTGTCTTTTCAACACTGAACACATAAATAATTCCAATGGACGACCAGGTATTTCACTGCGAGAAATCTTTCCCTAAAATTTATGTAATTTATATATATATATACATTTTATATAAATTTAATAATTTATATACATACCTTTCCTGTTGTTTGACCAAAAAGACTGAAATAATTTCTAAGTTCATCTTCTGATGCTGCACCTGGTTTATCAATTTTATTACCTAGCACTAAAACTGGACATGAACTAAGTTGTTCATCAGTTAAAAGTGCATCAAATTCAGCTTTTGATTCTGGTAATCGTGATCTATCACTTGCATCAACAAGGAATACTATTGCATCCACTGCAGGAAAATAATCTTTCCAAACTCTTCGAGCTGTAATATATCTTATATTTTAATAAAGTAACATTATAAAATAAAATATAAATATAGACAACATTTTAACGAATCAATTAATTATACCTTGGGGATGTCCTCCAAGATCAAATGTTGTGAACCTCATATTTCCAATGGAAAGTTCTTCTGAAGCTGAAGAAAAATATATGCAATATTATATATTACATGTAACAAAATATATTAAATGTAAATATAATTAATGAAATTATAATTAAAAAAAAAAGAAATATTATTTAAATATTAAAAACTTGAAAATAATTCATTGTAAAATGTTAAATTATAGAACATTAAAAATTTAAAAAAAAATGTTTTATGAAATGTTTTAAAAAAATTGTTATATCTCTAAATGTATATAATAATTATTATTTTAAATATTAATTACTTGGATGCAATGTAGGCACATGTTGAGCTAATCGATCATCTTTGAGCATATGAAGTAATGTAGTTTTGCCTGCATTATCTAAACCAAGAAATAAGAGTTTACCACTCTTTTTCCAAAGACCTAAAAATTAAAAACAAAAATCAAACTGAAAGCAATATTAAAAATTTAAAATAATTTTATAAAATTTATATATTCATTTAAATATAAAATATAAATATATTTTTTATATATTCAAAAAGAGAATACAACAAAATCATTTATATTCATAAAATCATCATTTTACATGCACTTTAAACACGTTTTATGTAACATACAACATATGTAAAACATAATGAAAGTTATACATACCAAGATAATTTAAAACTCCTGCAAACCAATCCCAAATGAACATATTTGTAGATATAAATGAATGTCAGGTCCACTGTGTACTAACTATTGAATGACTCTGCAACAATGATAAGTTGACAAGATTATCATCTTTAAATAATTATACATAATGGGAGTCATTTTTAAATTTATTATAGTCTTCATATAATTTTTTTTAAATAATAAGAAAAAATATTATAACAAAATACAAATATCGATAATATACAAATAGTTATTTAGAAGAAAAAATAAAACATTAAATCAATAACCTTTATTACATCGAAGTCAAGAATGGTATTTAGAATATAATCGGTGGACGATTACAATTGAAATGCGATAGACTTATCAGATCTCACCTAATAACAGTTTTATGTTTCGTTCACCACCACCAAAATGCAAAATTGCAAGCGGGTCAGAAAAGCGTTCGCATGGTATAATTACACTAAATCTGTTTCTTTACCACTAATTTAACGTACCCTACACAAAAAATATACGAAGCTGCAAAAGATGGAGAAGAAGTGCTTTTCTTCTTATAAAAAGCACAACTTTAGCAAGCCTATTTGGCTGGCAGTTGGCACTGATGACGTCTACTTCCGTCTGCCATATTGTCTAAATAGTGCTGTTTCATAAATGCAGATTTTGAGGTCAATTACATTTATTTTTATTTCATTCTTAAAATTATAATAATATATATATATATTGATATAAATTATATATTTTTTTTTTAAGTTGATTTACTTTATTTTGTATCAACAGTTACAAAAATATTTTAATATTACATGAAGAAATAAATAAAATTTTTATATAATACATGTTTAAATGACAGTTATAAAAAATATAAAAATATACACTGCACTGTCTGTGAAATTATTTACATTAAAATTTTATTTATACCAAATATTTAAGAGTATAATGTCCCTAGTATGCGTTACATTTTGTAACTAATTTTCTTAACCTCTTTAAATTTTATTTTATATAATATTATATATTAAATGCAATGTTAACAGGTAATTTACTTTTAATTTATATTTCCTTACTTAATAATTAATTTTTTTCTAAATGTATATCTAATAAATATAATATGTCTTTTATATTTCATAAAATATGTCATAATATATATAGATATAATATATATAGATCATAAAATTTTATGTATAATCTGAAATGAATTTTTTAAAAACAATATAATAATAATTTTATATTTTTATAAATTTAACTTTATATTCACAGGTTGGTTGACAAGTTTTCGTACTACACATAACCTCAATATTAGATATAATGTATGTTCTTACTTACTTACTCAAACTCGAGATTATGCAGCTAGAAAAGGGACAAGAGAAAAGAGATTATTGGCCAAAAAAAAACGAGCTAAAAAACAAGTAACAGTTGAACAAGTAGGATATGTTCCATATAAACAGCATAAAAAACAGTAAGCAATTTTTAATCTCAATTTTTTTAACACAATATATATATTGAATATTTTGTTAATTTTATAATAGGAAAATAAAAGAAGTTTGTCCACTTAATACTATTGATGATAGTTGGAAATGGAAAGCAATTGATAATGTATGGATAGTAAAATATCATCAGCGACCAATTTATTCTTTACAAGAAGCTATAGAATGCCATCGTGAAACACATCATCCAACTATGTATAATAAACCTAATGCAATTGTTAATGCATTTGTAGAATTAGATATGAGGGTAATAAAATAGAAGAAATAATATTATAATTAATATTCCAGTTAAGTTAAAAATATATATTATTTTAATAAAATTATTTTATAATATTTAAAATGTTTATAATAGCGTGAAAAGAAAAATAGATTCGTTGATAAGTTTACAAGAATAGTTGATACACCACATATATTTGAAAATAGTGGCAATAAAAGGACAGTATTAGCTTTTAGTAAGAATTTAGAAGAACAAGAGAAGGCTAGAGATGCTGGAGCTGACTATTCTGGTGGTACTGAATTAATAAAAAAAATTCAAGTGAGTAGATATAGTATAATATAATAAAAACAATAAGTTGATATGTATATGATATATATAAGTTGATATGTAACATTTTATAAAATATTAATGTATAGAATTTATTTATAAATTTAATTATTGCAGAATGGAACATTTCAATTCAAAGACTATGACTTTGTTGTAGCTCATGCAAATATTTTATCCGATTTATTATTAATTAGAGGATTATTGAAAAAAAAATTTCCAAACATAAGAATAGGTAAATAATAAATATATTACTTTAATATAATATATTTATTTATAATATTAAATTGAATATAAATAATTTAAATATTTTAGGTTCTTTGGGCACTGATATGAATAAACTTGTTACAAAGTTCAAAAATGGAATTGGATATACCGCAATACCTCATAAAACTTTCAAAGAATATGGCGAAATTAATGTGGCTTTTGGTTTGGTAAATTTATAGTTTATAATATGAAAAAAATACTTTATCGTATTTTAAATGTGAACTTTTTAGCTTGATATGGATATGAAATATTTGGAAGCAAACTTCCATGCACTAATCAATGATATTGAAGTAATGAGACCACGTGATGCATCATTTATTGTAAGGTAAATGCATTTAAATTAATAATTAATATATGAAATTATTTTAAAATAATATTATAGTAATATAAATATATAAAAATAAATATAAATAATTGAAAATAAATGTATATAAATTTTATAGAATTCAAATTAGAAGCGAACTTTCTGATGAATCTTTTACAATTAATTATCAAGATTACGTTGCAACAAAAACTGATAAAGAAACAAACAAGGAAGAAATAGATGAAACAGCAATTATTGATACGCAATAATTATTTAATGTATATAAATAAAATTATATTTAATCATGAATTCTAATTAAGTGTTAAATATTTATTGTTTACCTATCCTATAAATAAATTCAATATTTATTATTATTATTATTATTGTTTAATTAGTATAACCATATAATTGTTTTCAAAAAATAAAATATAAATGATGTATAAAATATTTTACATCTATTTTGTTTTTTACTTAAAAAATTTTAAGATAAAAAATTAATTAAAAAATGTATTTAAAATTAGATCGAATATAATAAAAATAGCAAATTAATATTTGAAAATTAAAAAAAAATATATAATAATAATTTATTAATTGTAAGAGATTCAGATTCCAAGAGGAATCGTACGAAAATGAAAGAACAAGACGGAGCCAAGTAAAGCAAAGGCAAAGAGAATGGAGAATGGTGAGCGGCGGTGGTGAGTACAGTGGAGGGGCGATGGCTCACCTACCTGCCGGTTGAGAGCTCAGTCGGTGTCCGCCAGGTTGAAAATCCGTGACTTCTCTTCGTTTTATACGTAACTTTTCACAGTTTTGTTAAAACGGCGCGAAAAATGTTGAAAACGAAAATATGAAATATAGCGAGACATATACCGCTGACAATTAATTTTTATTAGTGTTCGTTAAAAAATTCATCGATCAAATTAATGATAGATAAATTCACGTTTCCTTAAATTTACAGAAAAACGTTCGAATAAGTTTTTTCTGTGCGAACTTGATAGCAGTGCATGAGAGTGCGCGCACTAATACAAGCGCGATCCCACGCGTATCGCAAAGAACGTGTGTGTGTTTACATATGGTGATCTGTGTTGACTGTGTAACTATCATCAACCGAATATTGTGATTTTGGATTGCAGCAAATTTTGGAGCAACTAATTGATGTTATCGATTACTTTGTAGACATGCTTAGGTTAAACAGCAGTAAGCAATAACATTAGATGACACACCGGCACGCTTAATACACGGATGAACATACACTAGCGTAGTCATGGTAAGTGAAAATGCCTGAGTAAATTAAATCTTGACGACAAATCTTGGACGATAGAAATATTTTCTATAACTAGTCAGTGTTTCATATATTTTTTATACCGAAGTTTAATATTTCATAATTTTTTTTTTCGAAATTATTTTGCTTGGTTAGGAAAGGGAAGCATCATCTGTTAATATATATTTAAATTTAAAAAGAATAAATATTTAATTTAATTATTATAATTATATATAGTAATATACAATATATTTTTAAGATTTTTACAATTCACTAACTTTTCATTTTTTTTTTAATTTCTTAACAATTTGTGACAATTATATATTAAATATGAATTATTCATTATAACCTATTAAAATCATTATTATATCGAGGAAAATGATAATTATCAATAGGATTCTACGTACGAAGAATGAAATGAATGAGATTCTAATGTTAATGAGAAGTTGGAAAAAATCCAACAGGTTCATCGAACAGCATCGAAATTGATCGTTGTGGTTGTTTTTAAAATAGAATAAACTAACGATACGTATTCATCAAATTATCGTATTTTTTAATTTCAATCGTTACGCGTTCAAGATTTGATTTAATGATTATAATAAATATAACCAGTAGTTATTATGATCAAATTTTTGCCATGTATCGTTTAATTACATAAAAGTCTTATATATATATTTTATCAACTATGAATCGAACTCAACAGACGAAAGTATTTATTTGTATATAAAATCGAAAAACGTATCTGCGTCGAATTCTCGTACAACATTCTAGCTTAACTTTAGCGAATATTTCTAAGCAAGTAAATATAATACTTACGTATATGTAACCATTACATGACATTTTTTTCCTCGTAAGATATAAAGGTTAATTTTGTGTTATTCTAAAATCACACTCTGCTCTTCTATTAGACAAAAATTTAAGCCAATCCTTTTATAATGTATTTTACATTAATGTTTTTGGTTTATGGTTTATGGTAATACGTAAATATTATTTCTTATTGCAACAATCTTGAATCTTTATTTTAATCTTGGAAACTCGCCATTGAATACAGACTAAGGTATACAGACTATATATAGTTATAGCTATAAAATTAACTATTTCTTTCGCCAATTTATCCGCTAATTTATTTGTAACTGAATATTTCTTTAACAATTTTTTAATCATATTATTATCATTCAACCTCCTCCTGATTTCTCTTTTTAATCACTTATCTAGAGGCTAGATTATTAAAAAATTCATCGATATCGTTATTTTTCAGTGAAAATTTTTATCAATATTACGAAGTTCGTTATATTCGTCACTATACACGTGCCCCGACGACTTGTTCGGTTAACGATGCGTGCAGATCGCTGCAAAACCTGGCTCTAGAAGCAAATGCAAATGATACCTTTAGGGCTGCGTATCTTTTCCTTGCGTTTCCTTTTCCTGTCTCCACGCGGTTGATACTCTAATTGCATCGTAATAATTATGCAACGCGAGAGAATTCTCCTACTAAGACGTTCGATCTTTCGCTTCGTAGCACGAATAAAAAGTAAACGAATTAATATTATTATCACGTATTACAATTACAACTGTAAACTATCTTTCTTCCGTTCGTTCCGTGACGTTCATCTTTCATCGTCATCATGGAAAATTGCACAGACTAGTTTGATCGAAACTAGAAGAGTGGAAGAGCCCTTTTATTCCTTTCCTTCTTAATTCACCTTTGACCCATTCTTCTCCCTTTCTTTCTTCTTCTTTTTTTTTCACTCTTAAAAGTTAAGAGGTACCTCGAGTTTCAAGATCCATTCAATTCTCAAAGTGAATCTCTTATCTTTTTAATCCTGCATCGAAAGACGATTTAAATGGAAACTTTAATATTTATCCGTGTCTCATGGAAATGTACATTAATCTTACAACTGATCTATCAATATCTGTCCTTTGTATCGAAAATTGTGGAAAAATTTATTTATATTTTTACGCATAATCCGTTTTAATCTTTTATTGGAATATTTGTTGGCCAAATTAGAATATTTTTTAGCAAGTAGCAGGAGAAACAGTACCTATAAATACACGAAAAAAGACCACTCTCTTCCGCGGCACGTATAATTAGAAAGTACAGAGCAAGAGTCATTTTACCCGATTGTATCTCAATCGATGTTTTTGTAATTTATCTTGTCGCACCGTGGTTACCTGCTTTCCCGCATACACACACGACCATTCCTCGCGTTGCCGGAAGTGACAACGGAGTATAATAATCCCGATCCAACTTTCCGTCAATGCGATCTTCATCTCGACAACCCGTATATCTATCCGCGATTGCGATTCACTCCGTGCAATTTACTTTTCTTACCGTTATCTGGCATAGTTACGAAGAGATGTGTCACGTTTCGTCTCGTTTCTTCTTCGAGTATTCTTCTCACCGAGAAAATCGAATTCCCATTGAAACGAACGAATCATTTCTCCCCCTCCCCCCCCCCAAATTTTCCATTCTTACGATTTTAATTTTAAGAGATAAATTCAGATTTCCAACGATCCAAGATAATACGCAACAGAGCTTGCACAGAACGCTTCGTGAGGAGGGAGGCTTTGAAAAGTGTAAAGGGTTAAGGCGTTGCGATCGCGACAAGTTTTTCTCGAATCGATAGCCCCTGATAGAAAACCTGCCTATCCACTTTATGCCATAGGTTTCAGAACTCCTCCTCCTCCTCTCTTCGCTCTCACAGCTATAGCTAAGTGGACTCGCGTGTATATATACGAATATTTTCCTCCTTCGAATTGGAGGAGACACATCGTCGAAAGGTGCCTGCAACCATTTTTATTTATCCCCTTTCGAAGAGAGGAAAAAATTCTTCCGAGAGTTGAAGGATGGAGGAGGATAAAGCATGGCACAGAAGCGAGGTTAGAGCAGGTATCGGTCTGGGAAAAATGACGGATACGAAATGGTTACTGTACTAGTCGACCGGTTCTTCTTGTTACCGACTTCCTCCGCGCGACATATACTGGGTGACTGGTGGCTGGGCAAACTTTCATTGACGGCTCCCTTCTCCTCGTATACCGGGTGATACCGACCAATCTTCGTGCGCACACACGCGTTTCTCGAAATGTTTCTCAAATCTCCACGGCGGAGAATTTTTTTATTTCTCCAGAATCGAGCGTAAAAATGGAGGATATCGAAGAATAAGAAAAAAAAAGAGGAGGCTGTTTCTTCTAGCGGAGAAAGCGAAAGCGGCGCGCACCGGTTCCACCAGTGTTTTTTCTTTTTCTTTTTTCCCCTCTCTCGTTACGAATTATTACTCAACAGTTATCGCGCGTGAATATCACGGCGTGGATATGAAATTCGGATCACCGAAACCGAGTTCCAATATCGTCAAATGTCACGACGTCTCCCCGTACACCTGTCTCCCGTAATTAGGTAACGTGAAAGTTTTGCGCCGACATGTTGCGACTGCGCGCCACGGAGAACACAGAGATCGCCACCTCTCGGAGAGGTTGGAATATTGAATAACACAAGAGAAGCGTCGAAAGAATTGTTATTTCTTCGCGTGTTGCTTCTTCGCCGCCATAAGAAAATAAATAACGATCTATTTGAGGTAATTGAATTTATTAAGAAAAGAAAGGACGCGACGCGATTTTCTTGCGAGCAAAGTTTTCGATTGAATAATTAATTAACTCGAATAATTAAATCTTTGTGTAACAGAAAATATAGTGAAGAGACGAGCGTGGATTACAAGGATCTTTTCGTGATTGCGTTGAATAACGTGATAAATTATACAGATTTTAAATTGATAAACATATTGTTGTCATAAGAAAAAAATAATAAATAAACGAAAATTAATGATCTACTCGAAGTAATCGAATTGATTGAAATGGTTTAATTTATTAATATTTATAACAAAAAATAGCGAAGGGATGATCGTGGATTGCAAGGATTTTTCCATAAAAGGATAAGTTACGTGACTTGAAATTGATAAACAATTTCAATCGCAGAAACGGTTTATACGAAGACGGGAGAGGAAGATAAAGATCCATAAAGGCTGGCGAAATTCTCGTTAACGGTAGAGCGTATAGTACGTGTGTGGCTTGAACAAAAGAGCGAAAATTCTCATAGAGATTAAATTAACGCTGCAAGTACACGCTCTTTTTTCCCACGTGTTGTTTTCGCGTGTTGGCGAAAACGTGCGACAGAGATCGGTAAACCTTAGATGCACCACCAAGATAAACACCCTTCTTCCTGCTTCTTAACTAACTCGGCATCAACAGTTGTCTGGGATCAGGATGCAAACGCAGATATAAACGCTACTTATGTAAATTTTTTCTCCTTCCTTTCCACGTTCCTCGTGTAAAATGAATCGTTATATACCTGTGGCCGAGAGCCAAACTCTCTGCCAACTTGATCCAAATCCTCGGATTTAGGGAGACCAAGCTAAATTTGTATCAAATTATTCTCTCGTGACTCATCGTTGCGTAATTATTTCCCAGCGTGTGTTATCGTTATTACTACGAAAAACGATTTCTTTTTTCTTTTTTTATTTCAGAGAAATGTAATTGCACGCTTACCAACCGAGCCTTCCCAAAAGGAAATTCACGTACACTCACGTAACTCGAACCAGCGTTATCGAGCGAATTTAACGGATCTCGAAATGTTAACTTCGTTCGTGTTCCACCTGTTTCCCGGCTTAACCGGCAAGATTTTGCACTGTTTAGAATCGCGAGTCACCTTCTCATCAGCGTTAATTAACAGCGGGGCGAGAGACAATGGGCCGAGATATCCTCGAAAAAGATACGCGTTAAATTGGACATAAAAATTGAACATTGTGCACCCACGGAGATACAGCTCGCCTTTGTTGTTCAATTAATTTCTCTTTGCACCAATTTAACGGAAACCGTATAATTACGTAATTTGCCTCTTTTCGATCTTAATTAATTCGAATTAAGGAGTTCTCTTCTGGTATAATTCTTATTCCCACTTTGCGTTGAAATAAATTTTGATCAAAATCAATTGCAACGTTAACGCAATATACAAT